CCGGGCGGGCTGGGCCTGTGCGACCCGGGACCCATCCGCCCGGGGTACCCGGGCAGGTTGTTTTGCTCGACTTTCTTTTTTTTTTTTTTTTTTTTTTTTCGGCTAGGGGACACTTGTGCGCTCTCTTCGACATGCAAAAATCCTGCCTTTTTTTTTTTTGAAGTTGTAGACAAGGGGGAAGGGGGAGGGGGATTGGGGGCAGGGGGGTTATTAGCAGGTCAGATGTGCCCCCTAGCTGCATATAGTCGGTGCGGTGCAGGCACAAAAGACTAGCAGTAAAGAGCGTGTGCCTTATATACCTGCGACGTCGACAGTGTGGAAACTAACACTAAATGGACAGCAATGTTGAACAAACAGCAAACTGACAGCAAAATGGAACAGAGTTCAACAAACTGATGGGGATCTCGCATCAAAGTTCAGCAAGGGAGCAAACTAACATCAGAATTGAGCAACCTGCAGTACGCCAACTCTCCCTCCAACCAAACCAGCACACTTATCTCTTGGCAAACTCGGCACATGGCAAAGAAAGCATAGCATTCGGAATTTCAGATACCACGATAACCACTCTAAGCAACGTAGAAGCCATCCACACAAGTATGATATATGTAATGACCCGCCCAAAACACAGACTGAGAACAGTGCTGATTTCTGGGATTTGTCAATGGAATGAATGCCTTGNTGCTGATTTCTGGGATTTGTCAATGGAATGAATGCCTTGTTGTGATTCCCGCATTCTGCTGTGGTCCCAAGTCTGTGTGTGTGCGTGCCTGCTGGTTTGCATGCCTGTCTGAGTGCTTGCCGGTTGTGTGTGTGTGCGTGCCTGCTGGGTTGCATGCCTGTCTGAGTGCTTGCTGGTTGGGTATGTGCGTGACCCGCCAGGGTACTTGTTGGTTGCAAGGCCCACCGGGCCGGTACTTACCTGTGGCCGTGACTTTGAAGGGTTGCAGGGGGGTAAACATGCCGGTAGCAGGGAGTAGGCCCACGGCACTTAGAGCAGCTGGGGAAAAACACTCAAGTAGCAGGTAGGCCGAGCAGCAGAAGACAAAAAGTTGGCATTTTTAGAGGCCCAGTAGCGGTAGGTTAGAGGTAGGCCGGTACCAGTCCAAGTAGCCCGGGTCAAGGGCCTGTGCAGACAATAACAGAGCCTGCAATGATGTTTCCCTCCAAAAGGGAGGAGGTACCGGTTGCTGGGAGGCCGCTTGGCCTAGGAAGTCACCGCCCAGGAGGCCGGTAGGCCGCTATATCTTCAGGAAGAGCGGTGAGCTCTTCCTCATTTGCGGTATGCAAGGATTGGCGACATGCTGCTAGAGCGCAGCGCTGGTCTGAAGCAGCACTGCTTGGAGGTGAAGGTCTGCTGGGGCTCAGCCTGGCTATGGCGAGCACCCCAGCTTGAAGGAGGAAGAAGGGGGACATGGTAGGAGAGTGGTAGGGCACTTACCTGGCTATGGTGGACACCGTCTTCATTACCTTGTTGGGCGCTGCATCTGGAAGGCCCCAGTTGGGGTAACACTGCACCAGGGCAGCTTGAGGCAGAGGCAGGCATAGCGGACCAAGTCAAGCAGCGACATAGCTGCTTTGAGTTGTCTTTCGGGCATCAGGGCAGCATCATAGCTGCCTTCCAGTAGTCCGCCATGGCCTATGCTTGAGAGAAGAGGTTGAAGGAGGGAAGACGTAGCCATGGTGGACCTGTTGTTGTTGTTGTTGTTGTGAGTTGAGTCAGCAGTAATGGGGAACTTCGGATATTGATTCTGGTTCGTCCATTCATTGTTCTTATTATCATTGAGAGAAGAATAAGATTGGTGAAGAGGAGGAGGAAGGAGGAAGGTGGAGGAAGAAGGGGGGACTTGTCATTGGTCTTGCTGGTGTATTTCTTCTTCTTCTTCTTCTTCTTCTTTACCTCTCCTCTGGTCTTTATCTCTTTGCAAGTGCTTTCATTTCTTTCGCAATTGGGTGGCATTGTCTTTCATTGTGAATTTGCACTTTGGAAATGACCAGGATCGTAACAATTGGTATCGAAGCGGACTTACTTGCTGGCGAGAGTGCTAGTCACCCTAACCCTAATTTCGAATTAGGTTAAGGCTGACCTAATCTCGGATTAGGGCTGGGAAGTTAGGGTTAAGTGGGGCAGCGAGGTATGGGGATGCTGCCCCCACCTGGTTAGCTCATGTAGGGTCGACATTGGACCCAACTCGGTTGCTTGAGTGGATGTATGGGGTGGCGAGACACAAAGGAGGCTGTTTGGAGTAAGCGAGAGGGAGTAGAGAGTGAGAGGTACTCGCACCTGGAATCTGGACTTCAGGAAGACATTGAGTGACTTTTGGGCTTCCCCTCAAGAGGGAGACTTGATCGGAGGCTGCCATATCTGCATCGGATTGCTGCAAGTTGCTACTTTGGTCTTCAGGCGTCGACGGGGGATCCGGCTTTGCATCAGGGGTGTAGGAAGGCCCTCTTAGTCATGCTAGGACACTTCGTGTAGTGGTAGCTAGGGGTCAGGAGGACTTATATGAGAGGGGATTGACTCGTAATCCATCTTTGGAGGCCGGGCCTCACAGGTAAGTACCGTGTGACCTGGGTAAGCCCGTGGGAGGTTGCTTGGTGCTGCATGACCTGTTGGGGGTGTGCTGGGTTCTCTTCCCCTTCTCTGCAGTCTTGGTTGTGTGTGTTGAGCATGTGGATTGCTTTCTCACCTGATGGATGAATGGATTATGTATCTTGTTCTAAATGACTTATCTTTCTACAGTGCATTGTCTTTTCACTTCTGAACGGTAGTAGGGGTAAGTTCTTGCTGGAAGTTGTCTTTTCCTTTTCAATACGGTAGAGACAGTTTGGGTCTGACTTGGTACCCCTGTCTCGTTAGACCTGGTCCACGGCCTACTCGGGACCACTTGGGACCCAGTGGGACCAGGCCCAACGGGACAGGACCTTCGGGCCCAGATCTGCTGCCGTCGGTGCATTACTTTGCTGTGCTGAATCTGGGGGACACACGGACAGCAAGGGCATTCCTTTCAAGGGGATCTTGACTGGTCTTACCGCGTGTGAACACATACTGCCCTGCGTCTGACTCGGCGACCATCTGCACCCCTCGAAATCTCCATTGCTGCAGTTAGTCTTCTTGGTCTGATTTATTGTGATGACATGTCCTCTGTCAGGTTAGACAAGAGGGGATCTCCAGCTGATCTGATCGGGCCCGTTCTATAAATCAGACCTCTCTGTTGTTGTTTTTTTTTATTTTATTTCTTCTGCTGCGTGCCACGTTCTCAGTCCAAATGATTCGTCGCTCCGGCTAGGAGTTCTACCTTCTTCTTTGAGTGGTTTTCTGTTTGTTTCTTGGCCTGAACTACCTATGTCCGGTGTTGAGATGCGTGCGCAGACAACAAAAAGAGAGGAAAGGGAGAGTGTGGGTGTGCCGTTTGAGAGTGTGAGGAGGGGCAAGAGGAGTGTTTGTCCAAACGTAAGGAGAGAGCGGACCCCTCTTGAAAGCACTATTGACATTCCTTCCTCCAGCATGGCGGTCATCACATCTGACCAATGGCAGGCCATGCTGGATGCAGCAGACGAGAGTCAGAAACCGTTCTTTCAAAAACTGTCTGATGATGCCGTACAGAGGGAAAGGGAGGCGGAGGCAGCAACTAGAGCTATGAGTATAGCTACGCAGGAGGCCCTCCTACAGGTTCCGGAGGCCAATGCTGACCGGTTCGAGGAGAGGCTAGCTGCTGTCGTCGCAACCTTGGTCCGGCTGCGGAACTTGGAAGATCTCGAGTCCCGTGTGACAGCACTTGAGCAGCGGAACCAAGAGCTGCAGGCTAAAGTAAATAGCCTTGAACAGTCCCAACTGTCTGCCCCCCGCCCTCCTAACTCTCGATCTGCAATAATCCCAGTCTCTTAGTCCAGCACAACCCTCGTTCCAAGGGCCAGCGGAACTGTGGCAAGTGCAGGAACCGGTGCCAGCTCCTCGAGCGGCAGCACCGGCAGTTCTGCACTGGTCACAGTCCCAAATGCGGGGACATCAGCCCAAAACGCCGCAGTTCTTACTGGCGTTCAGTACAGCGGTCCCATGGTGGACAAGCGGGCGGCCACGCTGCCGTCCAAGTACGACGGGAAGGCAGACGTCACCTCTTGGATTAGTTCAATGAGGTCATACTTCGAGGTCATGCGGACATCGCAAGAGGACCGAAGTATGATCATGGGGACTAATACCGAGTCCGCCGTGCGAAACCACATTGAGCTCCAAGCTGTCGCAGCAGGCTATAAACCTGACTGATTGGCTGAAGGTCACCCCTGTTCGCACCCTTGAGGATCTTCTCCTTGACCGGTACCAGGATAAACATGCTGCGCTCAAGGCTAGACTGAAGCTTGAGGCCCTCAAGGGGCAAACATGGAGGTCATCCATGCAGGCTTTGGAACAACACTTGACTGGTCTATTCACTACTTCGGATCTGGGAATGACTGATGTATCTTGCATGGATGTAGTCATGGGAGTGGCCCCTAAAGAATACCTCTCCCTGCTAGCACTCAAAGACCATGTTACCTGGCGAGAGCTCATGAAGGATCTAGTCAACCTAGAGGCCAAGGACCTCGCCAGGCGCAAGAAGGCGCCCGCTGCAGGTGGAAAACCACAACGCAAGCGGTTTGGAAGCAGCAACCAGCTTGCACTGCATGATCATCGGGAGGCTGAGGATCAGTCCTACGCGGATGATCTGTCTCTAGATGACGATCTAGAGCCGGACTTCGATACGGGCTGTTCTTCATCAGCCATTGAGTGTGACCGTAACGAAGATGAAAAACTTAATGCATTCAAGAAGACTGCTTCTAAGGGGCCTAACCGTGGTTCGGGTAAGGGAACAGTTATACACCTTCCCAAGAATGCTAAGATCCCTGAGAAACTGGAGGACGCTTCCACCAAACATTGGGAAGCCCTCCGCATCAGCCAAAAAGAATGGGAAAGAAGATCCAAACTGCGCATATGCTTGCATTGTTCAAAGCCTGGGCATGCTGTGCAGGATTGCTATCGTCTTCAGGGAAACAGGCAAGGGGCATAGAGGAGTCATCAACACTCTCTACAGCAAGGGAAGTTGGGCAGTCAGTTGCAGGCCCTTCCGAGGAGCCTGGATCTGATCAGCAACGTTCTCTTGAGGCCCAAACTAAGGCTGAATCCAAGGCTGACGCAGTCCAAGTATTGTACACTGAGCCTTGGGAGGAGTCTAAAGAGGTCGACCTCCACGCCCACATGAAGCATTGGCTGCAGCTCAAGCAGCAACGTCGTGTTCAAGGGAGCGTGAAGCTGATTTTCTTTAAACTACTTGTTAACCGCCGATACATCCGTGTGCTGATTGACAGTGGTTCGACCACTAATTTCTTCTCTCCGAACGAGATTCGTAAGGCAGGCCTGGGTATGAAGCAAGTGGAACTGCAGAACCCTTGCCAGACTCAGGTGGGCAACCAAGAGGTTGTCACTTTTACTCATGTTGTCAAAGGTGTGCGCATCACCTTTGACAAAGATCGCACTATCACACATGAGCTGAATTTCTATGTCCTGGACAACTGTCCTTTCGACGCGGTCATTGGCTTGGGCTGGCTAAAGGCTCATTGCCTAAGGACCACGTGGGCAAACAACCAGTTCGTGGTACTTGATGCCAAGGGGAACGAGTGTACCGTCTTACTAGACGAGACACGCGAGTCCCCTGTGACTCTTCTCAGTGCTAACAAATTCTGCAGGTCAGTGCGCAGGCGCAAGGAAGCCGAGTTTGTACATATAGCTCTTGTAAAGCCTTTCCACGTGCCTTCTACTTTTGTTGCATTTTCTACCTCTGAAGGTAACTCTATTACTAGTACTTCTGTTCCACCTACTTCTGCTGTAAGTAATCAATCTAGTTCGAAACCAAATATGTCGAAACCGGTTGTGATTGCTGTTCCCAATCTGATTTTCTCTCTCCTGATGAGGATGATCCTCCACCAGAAATCCCAGCGAACATTCGCCATCTATTAGATCGATTTCCTGAAGTGTTGGCTGAACCTCGCGGAGTTCCCGAGCGTCCAGTCAAGCACAAAATCGAGATAATAGAAGGGAGTGTCCCTCCAAAGGGCTGCGTCTACCGTATGGGACAAGGCGAGTTGGAGGAGCTGCGGAGACAAATTGATGACATGATTGATCGTGGATGGATTAAGCCTAGCGAGTCTGAGTTCGACGCACCTGTTTTGTTTGTGCCGGAGAAAGGAGGCAAACTCCGGATGTGCATTGATTATCGTGGTTTGAACCGAATCACAATGAAGAATGCCTACCCTTTGCCTCGTATAGGTGATCTGCTGGATGCGGCCGGTGGATGCAAAGTCTTCTCCAAGATCGACCTCAAGTCTGGCTACCACCAGATTGAAGTTGATCCGAGCGACCAGCACAAAACTGCGTTCAAGACACGCGACGGGCTGTAGGAATTCATCGTTATGCCCTTCGGCCTTACGAACGCACCAGCCACATTTCAGTCCCTCATGGACAAGGTACTCCGCCACCAACTTAACAGGTTTGTGGTTGTGTATCTTGATGACATTCTGATTTTTAGCAAGTCCATGGAGGAGCACGTCAAGCATCTCGAGGAGGTCTTGCAAGTCCTCAAAGATGCTCAACTGCACCTCAACTTGGAGAAATCTGAGTTTGGCAGGGACAGCGTCATCTACCTTGGACACCGGTTGTCTGCAAGCGGTCTTGAGCCGGAGGCAACCAAGGTTGAGGTCATCCGCAACTGACCTCAACCGGCGAATGTACGCGAGCTGCGTTCTTTTCTTGGTTTGGCTTCTTACTACCGAAAGTTTGTGTCTAAGTTCTCTGTCATTGCTCACCCACTCTCACGCCTGACTAGTAAGAACGTTGCCTATGCGTGGTGTGACAAGTGTGAGACTGCGTTCCAAGCCTTGAAAGAGGCTGTGGTGAGTCATCCTGTGCTCCGCATTGCGGATCCCAACCTCACGTTCGTAGTCACTACGGACGCGAGCCAGTTTGGGATTGGTGCAGTGCTGCAACAAGATGATGGCGATGACCTGCGTCCGCTTGAATATTACAGCAAACACATGCCCAACCACAAGGTAGCCACTTCCACATACATGCGGGAGCTCTACGCCTTGCGCGAGGCGCTCACGCATTGGAAGCACTACCTCTTGGGTCGCCACTTCAAGGTATATTCAGATCATCAGACCTTGCAATGGATTAAGACACAAACTGATCTCTCTCCAACTCTGACCCGCTGGCTGCATGACATTGATGTTTTCAACTTTGAACTAAAACATAAGAAAGGCTGCTATAATCGTGTTGCTGATGCTCTGTCGCGCCATCCCGAGTATTTAACTTGCCTTGTGGACTCGTACGACCTCCGGAGGAAACTGAAGGAGGATCTGGTCGAGCACACTGCAAAGGATCCGGACCTTAGTCCCATCCTTGAGCAGCTCAAGGCTGACCCCAACAGTCATCCTGATTTTCATGAATGCGAGGGTCTTGTATTTCGCCGGTACGGAAAGTTTGACCGTCTGTGTGTACCCAACCATGCGCCTCTCCGAACTCACTTCTTGGGTCTGGCGCACGGTCGGAGTGGACATTTTGGCTTTGAGAAGACTTATGGAAGAGTCTTCTGCAACAATTTGATTGGCCAGGAATGAAAGGATCTGCTCAGAAATTCATTGCTAAATGTCAAGTATGCCAAAGAATCCGGGTCCACAGGCATAAGCCTTATGGCCTACTGAGACCTCTCCCCATTCCTGATGGACCCGGTGAATCGATTTCCATCGATTTCACGGACATGGGAAAGGTGAGTGAGGCTGGGAATTCACAAGTCATGGTTATTGTGGACCGCTTCTCCAAATTTCTGAACTTGATTCCTCTCCCTCCTCACGCCCCGATTGAACTTGTAATAGAAGAATTCCATCAGCAGTACATTCTGCAGTCCGGCGTCCCGAAAACTATTGTGAGTGATCGGGACACCAGATTCATCAGCA